AAAAAAAAAAAAAATGACAGAATCTTTTTCTTTGAAAATAGGACAGACACTCTTGAGTCAGCTGAGGACATATTCTGGAGACAAGCTGACTTCGGATACGCCAGAGAGCGGCTGGAGGAGATGCACGTGCTGTGTCAGCCCAAAGAAACGGTAGATGTTTAGCCCCTTCATAAATGAGCTTGTTTATTTTTATTCCTTATTATTGATGACTTGTTTTTGTTACTTATTGTTTAGATTACAATATAAAAACAAGACAGATGGCCCTGTGAAAGGAATCCTCATTCTCATATATTGGTTTCAAATTCTACTTAACTTCCCCAAAGAAGTTTCTTTTGAAGCCCTGTCTTCTTTATCACACAAATATCAGATGGACATAGTTTTAGACAGTTGTGACATTTTTAGGTTTAGAATCTGCTCCTCCCCCATGCCAACCTATGCTAAAGACAAGAAATAGATAAACCACATTTTTACAAATTCATCCCCACATAGTGTGGGGCAGAGGATATGCCCCCTACCATACTGCTGTGTGTTTGCTTAGCATGTTATGGTTTGCAGAAGCTTTTCTGTGTGTCATCTGGGTTGATAACCATAAGCACTGCAGCAGATAGACAGAGCAGATACCACTGATGCCTCTTTACCAAAGCTGAAAACAAGGTCCTGGGGGAGGTTAAGCAATTTCCCTAAAGCCACACAGCTACCCTGTAGAATTATGGATCTAGAATTAAAAGGCAGGTCTTCTTACAGTGCACTTTCACCCATTGCACTTCAGTGGGTCAGACAAACACACTGTCAAGAGGCATTTTGGGGTAGTAAGCATAAGAACAGGCTATCAACTGCAGGGTTCATGTTCTGACTCTTGGACAAGGCACTCAGCCCTTTCGTATTTCATTTTCCTCTGGCTTGAAGCCCTGTTCATCTTGTAGCATTATGAGGTTTTGCATATAAAAATGCTCAGTGTAGGGCCTGGCTCCCAGCAAAGGGCTCAGCATTATTTTTAAAGGTTGATGGAGCTATAGGCATTTCTGATTAAGGCATACTATTTTTTTTTTTTTGAAACAGAGTTTTACTCAGTTGCCCTCTGTAGAGTGCTATAATGTCATAGCTCATAGCAACCTCAAACTCTTGGGCCTGGCCTAAGGTGCACTGTTCTTCAAGCTAATGATCCTGCCCCTTGAGCTCTGACATCTCAGAAGTTTCTGGTAACTCCAGGCAGTTTGGGAAATAAAAAAAAAAAAAATCAATTTACTGGCATTCAAAAGAGGAATATATGCTCTATAATGCTATTGAGGGCATCACATAACAGAGCTCCGAGCATTCTAGCAGAGGGAGCGGAGCCCGAGGACAGGGGCACAGTGCGGACTGGGGCTGCTGCAGAGTGTGCTTGTTTTACCTCACACGCTCTGCCTGAGTCTGACTGCTCATGTGGAAAGGCAAGGGAAGAGCCACGGCCTCACTTTGTACACACTTTGAAGGTGGTTTGTAGAAGCTTTTGTGGCTAAGATTTACCCTGATATGTTTTATGTGATCAGAGTATGATCCCTGTCTTAGTTGTTTAAGCTGTGTGGCCTGGGTGGCTTGTAAACAGCAGAAATTTATTTCCCACGGTTCTGGAGGCAAGAAGTCTGAGATCAGGATGCTGGCACAGTCAGGTTCTGGTGAAAGCCCTCTTCCGGCTTGCAGACTATGACTTCTTATTGCAGAGAGCTCTCAGAGGTACCTTTTATAAAGCTACCAGTCTCCCCCTTCATGACCTAATCACCTCCCCAAGACCCCCACCTTGTAATTCCATTACATTGGGGGTTAGGACTTCAACATACAGATTTTTCAGGGACACAAACATTCAGTCCATTGCAGTCTTTTACCAACTGTGGATGCCAAAATGCCATGCAGGTTAAAATTAAGGCCTCATGTTCTTTGGAAGTTTTGAGGAAAATAGTAAAATAAAATAGTATTTAAATCTATAAATAAGTTCCAGAGTAGATAAATAGTTTTTGACACTTTCTCTCTTTTAGCACAAAACAGATTGGTTGGAATAGAATCAGGTTCTGGGCTCGGCGCCTATAGCTCAACCGGCTAAGGCGCCAGCCACGTACACCTGAGGTGGCGGGTTCGAATCCCCAGCCCGGACCCGCCAAACAACAATGACGGCTGCAACCAAAAAATGGCCGGGCGTTGTGGCGGGCGCCTGTGGTCCCAGCTACTTGGGAGGCGGAGGCAGGAGACTCGCTTGAGCCCAGGAGTTGGAGGTTGCTATGAGCTGTAATGCCATGGCACTCTACCCAGGGGGACAGCTTGAGGCTCTGTCTCAAAAAAAAAAAAAAAAAAAAAAGAATCAGGTTCTGGTAGTTGACTCTTAAGTTCCTTTATTTAGTTGTTTAGAAAATATTGCCTGCATGTTGTTGTTGAGACAGAGACTCCCACAAGTTGTGCAATTTGCAGAAAGTATTTCTTATTAAAACTGGCAAACCGCCCTCCCTGCCTTTAATGTCTCTGGGACATGCATGTTTCCTTGTTGCATTTGGCTCGTCTTTGAAAAATGTTTCTTCACATAGGTATGTGGATAGTAGAGATTCTGAAGGCCCTTTTTCTTCCTTTCCTTTCCCAGGTCATCCCTTTAAAAGTCCCTTCTGCACTTTTAAAAACTTTTTTTGAGATAGAGTCTTGCTCTAACACCCAGTCTAGAGTGCCCTGGGATCAGCCCAGCTCGCAGGAGCCTCAAACTCCTGGGCTCAAGCAATCCTTCTGCCTCAGCATCGTGAGTAGCTGGGGCTGCAGATGTCTGCCTTGATGCTCAGCTAGTTTTTCTATTTTTAGTAGAGACAAGGTCTCAACTTTGCTCAGGCTAGTGAACTCCTGAGCTCAAGCAATCTACTCGTCTTGGCCTCAGAGAGTGTTAGGATTATAGGAGTAAGCCACCACTCCTGGCCTATATATATATGTTTTTTAAAATGTCTAAATAGCCATAGCTCATACCTGTAATCCCAGCACTGTGGGAAGCTGAGGCGGGAGAATTATTTGGCTCAGGAGTTCGAGACTTGTCTGAGCGAGAGTGAGACCCCGAGTAATTAAAAAAATGAAAAACCCAGCCAAGTGCCATAGCCATGGGCTTCTGGAGGCTGAGGGAGCAGGATGCCCACAGCCCCACAGCCTGAGTCTGAGGTTGCAGTGAGCTATGATGCCACTGCACTCTGCCCCGGGCATAGGGTGGGACCCTGTCTCAACAACAACAACAACAAGGCAATGGAAAGTAAAAGAAAATTTGGAAACAATTTTTAATATCTGAATAATATGAGGGTACAAATGATTAGATTGCATTGTTTGCATTTGTTAGGTACAGTTTAAGTTGTAGTCGAATGCTTCCCCTGGGAGTGTGCTATATACCCTCACATTGTGCACCTCAGGTTAGAGCTTGCTCTTTTTCTTTTTAGCGAGGACTGAACTGAACCTGATATACAGTTCTTGGCTTTAAAATTTGAGGTAATGCAAGTAGAGCATTTGGGAGTTCTTCATGGTAGTCTACACATTTGGAAACTGGCAGAAGTATGCTTGGCTGAGGTCTTCTGGGAAAGAAAAAAAAATCATTGAACAGATGCAATCTTTGGAAAGCTTTCCGCACCACACTGTGTAGTTTGAACCTGAGGGTAGACATGTTGTCAGCATGTCTAGGAAGTCTGAGTGAGTCCTTACAATGTTAACACTTAAAGTTATTTTTTCTTTTTCTCAACCTTACTTCAGAGTGACTCAAGCCTGGTGTGTTCCCGTTATCTCCAATATTGCCGAGCAACCAATCTCTACCTGGATTTAAGAAACATCAAGAGAAATCATGACAGGTACTTGAGTGGTTGATGTTAAAGTCTAATAGAAGTTTGGAAATATTTGCAGACCTAGGGGTATGGCTTGGAGTTGTTTCATGAATAGTATGAGGGGTGGATTGAGAGATGGGTGGGGATCCACATTGGCCATGAGTAGATTACATTGCAAAGTTGGTTTGTGGGTATATCGGGTTCCTTAAGTGGCCCTGCAACTTTTGTATACATCAGATATTTTCTATTACAAATAAATTCTAATAAAAAATTGATTATACAAATTGGCAGTATACTTTAATTACAATCCATGTGCTTGAGTCATGAAAAAATTTTCTGAACTTAACTTCCTTTTTTGTTACACACTAGGTTTAAGGAAGACTTTTTCCAGAGTGGTGAAATTGGAGGGCACTGTAGACTTGACATTCATACGTTGATATCTGAAGGTCAACGCAAAAGCCCTCTGCAGTCATGGTAAGTTTTTTAAAACATTTGTTTGTAAAATATTTGCTATAATTTTGGACTCAGGCAGATTTGTACAGGGGACTCTCAAATGGAAAATGTTACTTTATTTATAAATAATTTGGCATAAACTTCTGAGGATTGACAACAACTAAGTGAATTCCTTGCTGTGTCTGAAGTAAATGTATGTTTATAAAATACAGAAGGTACCAAATAATACATATATACATTTTAAGAAAAAATTAATAATATATACTGATAACAAAAGATGAATACAAATATATATGAATGATAACAAAAGTCATGTTGATCACCTCTCATAATTGCAGAAGTCAATTGAGTATTACAGATCTATTTGTTTGTTTGTATATTTATTTATTTTTGATGCAAATTCTCACTTTCTCACCATCAGTAGAGGGCTGTGGCATCATAGCTCACAGCAACCTCAAACTCTTGGGTTCAAGTGATCCCCTTGCCTCTGCCTCCCAAGTAGCTGGGTCTAACAGGCACCTGCCACAACGCCCATCTATTGGTTGCAGTTTTCATTGTTGTTTAGCTGACCCTTGCTGGGTTCGAACTCACCAACCTGAGTGCATATGGCTGGCACCATAAACACTGTGCTACAGGTGCCGAGCCATGTTTTCCTTTCTTAGTAAAGAAAGTATTAAGAAGTATGACATAGTACTTACTGTTTGCAAATGAGAGAAAAAAATCATTTCAAAATTGAGACTGGGTGCAGGGATCACACCTAAAATCCCAGCATGTTGGAAGGTCACAATGGGAGAATCTCTTAAGGCCAGGAGTTTGAGATCAGAATGAGCAACATAGTGAGACCTACAAAAAAAAAAAAAAAAATCAATCATGCATTAGCCGTTCATCCCTGCTGTTTGAGAGGCTGAGACAGGAGGATCACTTGAGCCCAGGAATTTGAGGCTGCAGTGAGCTATGATTGTGCCACTGCACTTCAGCCTGGGTGACAGAGCAAAACTCTCTCAAAATAAAAAGTGTATTTTGGGTGGCTCCTGTGGCTCAAGGAATAGGGTGCCGGCCCCATGTACCAGAAATGGTGGGTTTAAACCTGGCCCCAGCCAAAAACTGCAAAAAAAAAAAAAAAGAAAAAAGTGAATTTTTTTTTTTTGAGACAGAGCCTCAAGCTATTCCCCTGGGTAGAGTGCCATGGCATCATGGCTCACAGCAACCTCCAACTCCTGGGCTCAAGTGAGTCCCCTGCCTCAGCCTCCCAAGTAGCTGGGACCACAGGTGCCCGCCACAACGCCCAGCTATTTTTTTGGTTGCAGTCATCATTGTTGTTTTGGTGGGCCTGGGCTGGATTTGAACCCACCACCTTAGGTGTATATGGCTAGCGCCTTAGCCACTGGAGCCACAGGTGCCAAGCTGTGACATTTTATTCACTCATAATTGCTGCAGATATTTGAGGGAATACATTTTTAAAAAAAATACATATATGTTGAAATTTATAAGAAGCATACAAAGAAATGTATAGTTTGGATTATGCAAAAGTGAATCTACCCATGTAACTATTAGCCAGGTCAAAAAATAAATCAGCAGCAATACCCTAGATTCCTTCCCAGGCCTCACCCCCATCCTCCTCTCCAAAGGTAAATCGTACCCTGACTTTTAAAACCCATATGGTCACCTTGTTGAACTTTAAAATGTTTTACTTTAGAAGAATTTTATACTCATAAAAATTTAAAAATAGTACAGTGAGTTCCCATTGTCCCAGCTTTCTCGGCTTCCACTAATGATACTATCTCATGTAACCATAGTGCAATGATCAAAACCAGGAAATCAACATTGGTACAGTATTATGAACTAAACATATGTGGATTTCACCAGTGATTACATGCACTCATTTAAATGTTATTACCTGTCTAGGTAACTACTGCTACAATTAGGATACAGAATTGTTCCTTCGTCCTTCAGAAATGCTTTCATGGTACTCTTCTTTAATCATGTGGGTTACTCTTTTAGTATAATAACTTTTGAAGTCAGACATTCGGGTCGAGTGCTATGTCTCATGCCTGTAATCCAGCATTCTAGGAGGGGAAAATGGGAGGATTACTTGAGCTCAGGAGTTCAAGACCATCCTAAGCAAGAGTGAGACCCCTGTCTCTGCTAATGATAGAAAAATTAGATGGACATGGTAGTAGGAGCCTCTAGTCCCAGATACTCAGGAGGCTGAGGCAGGAGAATTGCCTGAACCCAGGAGTTTGAGCCTGGCACTCTAGCCTGGTCAACAGAATCTAACTCTGTCTTAGGGAAAAAAGAAAAGTCCAACATTTGTGTTGAGCATACCATTCAGAGCAATAATCTACCATCCATGGGTATGGCATTTTACAGTCTGCAGTGCAGTCTCTGACATGACTTACCAGAGTTTTAAGTAAGTTTATTTTTCTTTGGCCGGGGCTGGGTTTGAACCCACCACCTCCAGCATATGGGGCTGGCACCCTACTCCTTGAGCCACAGGCGCTGCCCCAGAGTTTTAAGTAAGTAAGTTCCTATATTCTAGTGGGATTTTTGATGCCTAGTACTTTTTTTTGAGACAGAATCTTACTATTGCCATAGGATAGAGTGCCATGCCTCATAGCTCACAGCAACCTCAATTTTCTGGGCTCAGCCTCCTGAGTAGCCGGGACTACAGATGCTCACGACCATACCTGGCTAGTTTTTCTATTTTTAGTAGAGAAAAACTAGCCGGGTGTGGTGGTGGTCAGGCTGGTCTCTAGGTGCCCAGGCTGGTCTCGAACTCTTGAACTCAATCGATCTACTTGCCCTGGTCTCCCAAGAGTGCTGGGATTATAGGCATGAGCACTGCACCCGCCCCTATTTCTAGTAGTTTTTGATATCTGATTCCACATGGTAGTTCTCTAGGGTATAATTATATTAGTTATTTATTGTTGTAGAACATGTTTTCCTAGGTACACCCTAGGGTATATTCGTATTCATTGTCTATTGTGGTATAACACATTACATTTAAGTGGCTTAAAAGGACAAATATTTATTATCTCACACTGCTTCTGATGGTCAGGACTTGCAAGTGGCTCAGCTGGGTCTCTCGTGAGGTTGCATGCAGGCAGTTGGCCAGGGCTGTAGACATCCCTAGGCTCAGGGGGTCCTGGAGAATCTACTGCTTAGCTCCCTTAGGCTGTTGTAAGCCTCACTTCCTTTCTGGCTGTTGGCCAGAGGCTTCAGTTTTTACCATATGGACATCTCCTCAGGAGCACATGGTCTACGAGAGCACTGCCCCAAGAAAAAAGCTGTAGCCTTTGGATAACCTAATCTCAGAAGTGACATGCCGTCACATCTGCTATACACGTGTCCTGTTGGTAAGAAGTGAGTTACTAAGTCCAGCATACCCTCAAAGGGAGGGAATTAACATTCACCTTCTTTTTTTAACTTCTACCTCTTGATAGAAGTATTATTAAACGAGTTTGTAGACTCTTATATATTTCTGAAACCACCATGATATTTTGGCGTTTTATTTTAAAAGAATCCATTTGTTACTTGTTTTTGTGAGATACAACCTCAAGGATGTCATTGTCACAGATGATCTATATATTTATTTACTCTATATAGCTCACAATTGTCATGTGGTTGTGATTATCTTGTGATTATCAGAAAATTATGCCATATGGCTTCCAAAGATGTTTTCTAAAAATACATTTCCTTTCTTCTGGGAAGCCTAGCTGTCTGCTGTCTTTCTGATACACTGGGTAATTCTGGGAATGCTATCCTTCTCAGAATCCAGGAATCCTACCTTAAGAGTTTCTCTGAGCCTCAGGAGGAAACCATTTGAATCTTTCCACTTTACTGGTAACTAGGGTGTCCAGTTACAACCCACAGCTGGTTATGAATGTTTATATGTAGTGGCAGATGTCACGAAAATTTTGCATAGACCTTTGTTGTGGTCATCAGTTTTCATTAGTGCTTGTGTAATCCAAGATAACTCTTAGATAAGCATTCAGAGTTCCCAGTTTATCTTTCACGTTACACTGAATTTTAAAATTATTTTTGCTCCTAATGTCAACATTAAAACTGATATCAAATTATATAAATGTCAGTATGTCTCAGAAGTAACAGGCCTCCATAGGAGCGCCTCTGCAAACCAGAAGTAAAATTTGCCTAATGAACAGATCTTAAGTTACGATGTTGAAGCTAGGGAGAATGACTTTGAAATCATATCTCAATTCCTAATTCCAGGTTTGCTGAGCTACAAAGCTATACTCAGCTCAACTTCAGACCTATAGAAGATGGTAAATGTGACATTGTTATTGAAAAACCGACATATTTCATGAAATTAGATGCAGGTGAGAAGTTAATTTGTCTGTTATTTATGAGTTTGTTAATGATGCTTTACTTTTTTTGAATATATGTGTATAGTAATTTTCTGTGAATTTTTGGGAAACAGTAGAACTCACAGTGGATTTGCTTTTTGCTTTCTTCTTGGAAGAAATAGATGAATGAGTTTGAACTTCTCATTATTTTATGCCTTTGGTATTTTAGAAGAAAGCTTCACATTTTTTTTTTTTTTTTTTTTTGAGACAGAGCCTCAAGCTGTCCCCCTGGGCAGAGTGCCGTGGCATTACAGCTCACAGCAACCTCCAACTCCTGGGCTCAAGCGAGTCTCCTGCCTCCGCCTCCCAAGTAGCTGGGACCACAGGCGCCCGCCACAACGCCCGGCCATTTTTTGGTTGCAGCCGTCATTGTTGTTTGGCGGGTCCGGGCTGGGGATTCGAACCTGCCACCTTAGGTGTACATGGCTGGCGCCTTAGCCGGTTGAGCTATAGGCGCCGAGCCAAGCTTCACATTTATATCAAAGGAATTAATCAAAATCAAAAGATGAGAGAAGGCATATGTGTACCTTTCGTAACTAAATTTACCCCATCTGGTTTCTCTAATTACTTGATTTATATTGTGTTTTGTTAATTTTTTTTTAAATTAAAGGCCACGTGTATAGTATGGGTGAGAAAGAAATAACCATGACCTCCCCTGGCAAACTTTCTAATATCATTTTCATAACTAAAGTGAACTTAAAATTCTTCTGGAAGTTGCCATTGTAATATATCCTTAGGCCAAAAATTAAATAATTTCCCCATTTATGCCTATAGCTTCTGGCTTTCAACTTGCAAGCACAGATTTAACATTGTGAGCTAGTTGCCCTAGAGAGGAGAAACACAGATCGCACTATATTATCTCTCTCATTAGGAGAGACAGAGATTACTGTGCTATATCATATCAAAATTCATGAGAGGTTGGGCTCACCGTGAAATATAGAGAGCCCTCTGTCACAAATATTTCAGAGTTACTATAATTTATTGATCATAGTTTTAGTATGCTCTGCCTTCTGAAGTCATAATTCTTACATTACAAAGTATTAAATTCAGAAATCAGACAAGTTTAGGTTTTTGAAATAAGAGCAAGTAAAAATGCTATGTTCAAGGTTCGTACTCATTTTTAAAATATGTAAATTAAAAAAGGCAAAGAAAATCCTGTGATCTGCTTGTAAAAGAGGTGAATATGTGAGAGCTGTTAAATTTATGTGGATACTTACGCAATAAAGTATGCAAAGTGGGAATCATAGGCCAGGGTAGACATGTGCCATTTCTTTTTCATGTTCATAACTCTGCTTTTTTCCCCTAACTCCTGCCTTTATCAGTTTTCCTTTTCATGTTAACTCTTACCTTGGGAGGAGCATTTTGCAGAACAAGACTCACTAAGGGGCACATTTCTTGAGGATGAAGCCTATGTTCCTCCCTCGTTTATAAATCCTGGCAGCACCAAGTAGTATTTTTGTGCCTGCTATAATCCTCAGTAAATGCTAGGAACTCACTGACTGTTCCATGAGAGAGCTCATGTGTGCTGTATGGCCAACCTGGGAAAAGAGGATGGGTTCTCAGAGAACTTTATTTTTCTTGCTAATTTGAAAATAAGCTCTTTGCCAAGATTTTTCTAGGTGAACAAGTTAGCCCTTCCGCACAATCACCTGAGATGCCAGGCTGAAAAGAACTTGAATGTGTTCTGGCACAAAGAAAGACTATTTTATGATTTCTGCTTTTGAGAGTAACTGTTTTTCTTTTACTCATTATTTTTCCTTTGTCAAAATATATGTTTTAAATGTCACTTCTTGGAATTTCATCCCAGGTAGATCAGGTCCTGCATGCCTAAGTGGAGAGTGCATGGATTTTTTGTTGTTGTTGTTGTTTGTTTGTTTTGTTTTTTGACTGGCATATGAATTTATAAATAAAGGTACTCACAGCTCTTTCTACTCTATCTGATCTAGAGGTATCCAGATAGTTTTCATTAAGGTCTTACTATGTGCCAGGCATTGGATGGGGACCTTAAGATACATTATCTTTGGATATCTCATGACGAAGCTGGCACTTCTGTATAGCTATGTCCCATTTCTAGTGGAGAAGCTAAAGCTTAGAGACTTACCCTGGGAGGCTGAGGCACGTGGATTGCTGAGCTCAGGAGTTAGAGACCAGCCTGAGCAAGTTTCTAATAAAAATAGAAAAATTAGCCAGGCGTTATAGCAGACACCTGTAGTCCCAGCTACTTGGGAGGCTAGGCAAGAGGATCAGTTAAGCCTAAAAGTTTGAGGTTGCTGTGAGTTGTGATGCCACAGCACTCTGCTGCGGGTGACAGAGTAAGACTCTGCCTTCAAAAAAGAAATAAATAAATAAAAGTAAAGCTTAGCGACATTATGAATTTATTTAAGAACATTCCACCTGAGTGGCTGCACTGGAATTCAGCCCAGTTCTTCTGATTCCAGAGTTCATGCTCTTTCAATTAGAACATGAGACATTTACCTCTTTTCAGTGATAGTTGGTTAATATTTTCCCAAGGAGAATATTATTAAAAGTAGTGATTGGACAGGAAAAAGAAACAAGAATCAAACTAACAAAATGTTAATAGGCATCATTGTTAATAACTCTGTGGTAAATAGGTATTGCTTAATTAATTCAAAAAAATGTTATCAGAAGAAATAAAGATTAGTCTTCATGGCCTTATAGTTCTACTCAGTTTTAAGTTAAATAGACCAACATTATTTTTTTTTTCTGGGAACGTAATGATTATTTGTTACTGGGAATATATGGGAAAATAAATTCCCGATTTTTTTTTTTTTTTGGAGACAGAGTCTTACTCTGTTGCTCTCAGTAGAGTGCTGTGGCATCACAGCTCACAGTGACCTCACAGAACCCTCTTGGGTTCAAGCAATCCTCTTGCCTCAGCCTCCCAAGTAGCTGGGACTACAGGTACCCATCACAACACCTGGCTAATTTTTCTATTTTTGGTAGAGACAGGGTCTCACTCTTACTCAGGCTGGTCTCAAACTCCTGAGCTCAGGTAATCTGCCCAACTCGGCCAGAGTGCTAGGATCACACACGTGAGCCACCACACCTGGCCCCAAATTTCCAATTTTTAAGTAACCAATTTTAAAGGGAAATTTTGAACCCAATCCATCTATAAAATGAGGACTACCTGTGTAAAGATCATTTCGTGTTTGGCAAAAACTCTTCTTTTACCTTTGTTTCAACCAAAAGTCCATTAAACAGTATTTACACGAGGTAGAATAAAAATTGTTTAATCCTGTACCCTTTGGGAGCAATTAACATAGATTTTTTTCCCCCAACACTAGGTGTTAACATGTATCACCACTTCTGCGATTTCATCAATCTTTATATCACGCAGCACCTGAACAACTCATTCAGCACAGAGGTGCACATTGTGATGTGGGACACCGTGAGTAAGAGTGTTCTCTCTGCCTCAGCACTGGCTTTACCTTGAGTTGTCAGTATGAGACTTGGATGTCGTGAGACAGATTTTCTAAGACATGCATGTTTACACATACTCACCCATCCACACATCCATACCATCTGCATCTTGTCTGTAGATGGGGTGATTGTGTCTGTACGTGAGCACCAACACACACATATACATATAGGCAGATAGATGGATGTGAGTATGTGTATACCTCTGTTCTTTGAATTTTAGAATGAGGTAGTGGAACATTTCTTTCCCCTTTTGGGGAGGAGGAGTTGCAAAGATCAAAGGTGCATTGGCTTTGGCTGAGTGTTCCTCCTCTAAGCAGACAGGAAGACTGTCAATCATTCGCTCAGTCTCTGTAACCCACCCTGAAAAGCGTGCCTGTCGGTACCATTTGACCTCTGCCATTTGCTGTCTACCTTTGCTTAATGCATTTTCCTGCCACTGCAGTACTTGCTTTGCACTGACTAGCACCGCGTTGCAGCTCCCTGTGCACACAGCAGTGAGTACGCACGTGCTGAATATCACCTGCTCTTTATTGTTGTCAGTGTAGCCTTTTTTTTCTTCTTTTGTTTCTTTGCCTGCCTTTTCATGTTTCTTCCTATATCTGGCCCCTGCACCTGCCGAGGTAACCCCAAGACAGTGATTCTCAACCTTCCTAATGCCATAACCCTTTAATACAGTTCCTATGGGTCACAACCTACAGGTTGAGAACTGCTGCCCCAAGATGTGCCCCAATATCCTTATCTGTGAAGCGAGATAATGAGAGCACCTACCTGGGTATCATTTTGAGGATGAAACACATAGTGTGTGAACAGTCACAGTGCCTGGCACACAGTACATGTGCTCTGAGTATTAGCTATGACAATGACAAGGAAAGCAAGTGGTTTGGAGTGTACAGGAGAGAGGTTCTCTAAACCGGGAAGTTGGGGCACTCACCAATGGTTCATCCAAGGTTCCACTGATATTCAGACTCATAAGACACTCACATGCCCTGTTCAGGGTGACATTGCAGGGGCTCAGTGCTTGCTCACAGAGCCACCTCTAGCATTTCTTCCCAGGGCAGCACTAGCAGCCCACATAGCACAGCATGGGTGCAGGGAGATGGGCTCCACATGGGACAGGTGCCCAAGCTGCCTTGGCTAAGAGCTTCTTGTCCGACAAGGGCCAGCAGCTCCTGTAACAACTGCATTGGTGAAGCCCCCAGGAACCCTGAAAGAGACACCCTAGTCCCAAGAGTCCTGATACTCAGGAAGCCTAACATGGCTTTCCCAGTCCAGACACAATTTACCAACCAAGCGCCAAGCGTCTGTTTTGCTCAGAAGCAATGTTGCCTAGAAACATAGTTGACACGTGTCATCTTCATTTCAGAGGGCAGAGCTAGCCAGTGAGTGGAAGGTCAGATTCTCCCGCAGAGGGGAGGGGTAGTTCCGCTGACCCATTTTTCACAGATACAGAGCTTATGACAGATCTGTGTGGAAAAGTCTTTGTGTTTGCCGTTCCCTAGACCTTTGGTTTGAATTGAAGTCTGGGGAGAACTGGTTCAGTAATTTCAGCATGCTGCTCCTTTCTTTCAGTCTCCCTCTGTGCATGCGGGTACATTTTCCTGGGTTCCCCTTTTGCTGCCACTGCAGTTTCATTTCTTAGGAATGTTTTTGTGAGCAAAAGAACAACAGTCATTTTCTTTTATTCTTTTTGTATAAGTGATTTTAAGGCACAACCACCGACTATGGCAAGTTTTGAATGACGAACTCATGATTGTTTTGCTTTTCTTAAAAAAAAAAATCTCACCTGATCTTATCTTATTTAATGCTTTCAACCTCCTCCTACCCTGTGGACTTGAGATTTTGTTTTTTTTTTTTTTTTTTGAGACAGAGCCTCAAGCTGTCCCCCTGGGTAGAGTGCCGTGGCATTACAGCTCACAGCAACCTCCAACTCCTGGGCTCAAGCGAGTCTCCTGCCTCCGCCTCCCAAGTAGCTGGGACCACAGGCGCCCGCCACAACGCCCGGCTATTTTTTGGTTGCAGCCGTCATTGTTGTTTGGCGGGTCCAGGCTGGGGATTCGAACCCGCCACCTTAGGTGTACGTGGCTGGCGCCTTAGCCGGTTGAGCTATAGGCGCCGAGCCGAGATTTTGTTTTATTTATTTATTTATTTTTTTGAGACACAGCCTCAAGCTGTCACCCTGGGTAGAGTGCCATGGTGTTACAGCTCACAGCAGCCTCCAACTTCTGGGCTTTAGCAATTCTCTTGCCGCAGCCTCCCAAGTAGCTGGGACTACAGGCACTGGCTATTTTTTGGTTGTAGTTGTCATTGTTGTTTGGCAGGCCTGGACTGGATTCGAACCCATCAGCTCTGGTGTCTGTGGCTGGTACCTTAGCCGCTTGAGCTACAGGCACTGAGCCATGGACTTGAAATTTTATACTAGCTTAGTTTTGGAGGCTGAGGCCTGAGCAGCAGGTGAGGAAACTAACATAGTCGGGAAGGAGTGGAGCCAAGGATTCCAGTCTAGGCAGCATGACCCCAGACCTGTGCTGGGAAACCAGTGTTGCTTTCCTAAAATCCTCCAAAGAACCTGTTAAATTAAAAGAAAGCATCTCATGTTCCAGAAGTGTCCTGTATCTTGCTGAATGCTTTTCTCTGTCTTCCTTAATTGGACTGAGTTAGATTAAGCCTCCCCTTCTGTGTCTGCCGGGTTGGGGCAGGATGCAGGGACTCTGTGACGATCCCAGGCTTCTCAGTTAGCTGAGCATGGACAGGCAGGAGGGCTATGGCTAAGCAGGTTGGCTTTGCTAATTACTTAGTCACATTCTCCAGACAGGCAGGCCTGCTAGCTGCAGAATTCAGGCCCATGGGAGACTGTAGGTTGGATGGGGACAGTGCTAACTGAGAGGCCGTGTGATTGCTACTTCTTTTCCATCACTAAGGCCTTAGATTAAGGGACTCTGTGACCTATAGGATGACTGGGATGCAAATCCCTCACAGTGGATGGTCCCCGCAGTCAGTTCTGACAGCTTTAGATGACCAGTTTTCCTAGGGGAAGAGCGGGAAAGTGACTATGACTGCAGTTCAGATCTTAGTGCATTTTACAAACTACCCCACAAAGAAACCTGTGAGACCTTCTCTCTCCTCCTTGCCAAGCTCAGCAGTTTGGCTCCTCCCATCAGCGCGCAGCTTCCTTGGTGGGATGTGCTGAGATGCACAGATGCCTGTGCACTGACGCCTCTCTGGGCGTCGGAGGGTTGCTGTTATTAAACAGAATGTACAGAAGGAAAGATTACCACAGGCTTTTCACCTTTTCTTGTTCTGTGAAGTAGTATAGCTCTATTATTCTATTTTTAATTATGAAACCAATACCTAATTATAATGAGTTCAAACAACACAGAAGTATGTAAACTTTAAAAAGAGGTTCCTTCTTTCTCTGCTCCAATTAATTTTCCCCAGGGTAACTGCAGTTAAGGTGTGTGAGCCCCTTGAAAGACATTTTATGTTAATAAATGCAAATATATCTTTACGTGAAATTTACACATAAGGATTTGTGTAAGGAAATATGTGTGTATATAAAAGAGAAAATATATTCTCTTCCATATTGCTCCCTTAACATTATCTCACAGGCATCTTTCCAAGTCAGTCCATTTAGGCTTATGCTTTTGTTTGTGGCTACGTGGTGTTCTATTTGATGGATCTTTTGGGATTTCAGCGCATGCACCAGTGTACGTGTCCCTGCCCCTGTCCCAGTCACATTCCGTTTGTTTCCAGTTCTTTGCTAATTTCCTAAAAGGCTGCAGTAAACATCCTCCCCGTGTATTTATGTCCTCACACACTCATCCTAGCATTTCTGTGGGACAGATTTCTAAAATTAAATTACTAAGTCATAGGTTGTATACATGTTTCAATTTGAGACATACAAAAGGCGGAAATTTTATGCTATCTTAAAAAATATTCAAGTATTTTTCAACATGAGAGTAAGAAGAAGCCCATCCTTTTCTTGTAGTAGATAATTTGAATTCGGGGAGCATGGAAAAGAAGCATCTAGAGGTGGTTATTATTACATAATACATAATTTCCCCAAGAAAGGATCAATCAGAGTTACTACATATTATTATTAAAATTTCATTTCAGAGGACATTTTATTTTTATCTGATATATTTTGTCTCAAGAAACTGTCTAGACCCTCTTCTTTTAATTGCTCTTTTTTTATTATTAAGCCAGAATAGGAGCATTTCATTTTAGATGGTGTTGAGAACGGCCTTTATTAGGACAGCATTGGAGGAACATTGAAGGAAGGACTTGTTTTCTTTTTTTAGATTGAGAACATCTAACAGTCCTCAATAGCTTTGAAATAACTGTAAAATGTGCAACATAAAAATTTCACAATTGGGCTGGATGCAGTGGCTCACATCTGGAATCCTACAGGAGGGTTAATTGAGCCCAGGAATTTGAGGTTGCATTGAGCTATAGTGATGCACCACACTCCAACCAGGATAACAGAGTGAGAGTCTTGTCTATGCACAAGAACAAAGAAAAATGAAAAACTAAAAAAAGAATGCTATAAAGCTAAAAAGACACAGACATAGTGAGCGTAATGTATAACTACCTTGGATGTAATCCTACAATGCTTCTTTCTAATGGCTGAATTTTCCAATCTAAGTTACATCATTTAAAAAGTAATTGATCTCATTCCTTTTAGCTCATGATTGACTTTTACTTTTCAAAAAGGAAATGCATTTGGTAAATACACTAGAATGAACTAATCTCCACTCAGAGGCTGCTGTCATATGGACCTTTAGGAATGTGAAGTGTGGCATAAAAGTCTGGATTGAATCCCAGCTCTGTAACTCACCAGCAGATTACTTAAATTACTTAAATTTGTGTTTCCCCATCTGTAAATTAGGGATAGTGATATTACCTAGCTCATTAGGCTTGTGGGTGATTTCCCATAAGTGTCTGAAACAGTGCCTAGGACACAAGAAACATGCAAGATGCTATTGTTATTGTGTTGTTGTTATTATTAGCACTATTAATATTAACGGTATTATCACTTGTTACTCACTAGTCAGTGGGGAAAACATTCCAAAGAATTTCATACCTTGTATTTTTAATGTCAAAGATTTCAAGTCATTTTCTTCCTTTGAAATTTCTTTCCAAAGCATATTCCATTTACCCTGATGGTTTTTATCTACTGAGCTTATCAGAGTGTGTATAAATGCTGTTATATGTGTGTGTTGTATGTACCAATAGATAGAAAATTGGATAGAAAATTCAAAGGAAAAAAAAATCCGATAACTGTAATTTCAAAGATGTGAGAATAAAAAGGGTTAAAGAGGAAAAACAAAAATAATATTAACAGAGTAAATGTGATTATGATGATTACTTATGATAATATTTTGTTGAAGTAGGCATTTGCTCAGACCCAAGATGCAGATTCATTTTGCTAATATGGATTTTGTGAGTTTACTTAGGATCATTAGTTTTTAACTCAGAAAGGCACTTCCAGGGATTTTGAACATCTTTGAAAATCTGTCTCATTTATTTTTATTGCCCTCACTTACTTTGTTTCTACTTTCAGAGTTCTTATGGATATGGTGACCTGTTCTCTGACACCTGGAAAGCATTTACTGATTATGATGTTATACATTTGAAAACGTACGATTCCAAAAGGGTACTGCAAACTTCACCATCATGAGCAGATGGTTCACTTGTAACATAAATATTTAACGTGCATTTCTATGAGCTATTATCATCGATGTCTGATTTCTTAGTCTCTTTTATTATAACTAAAATTCTCATTGTTATTAATCATGTAGCTTTCAGAAACTTATTTTCATAGCTTCTTCAAAAATATGAATTTTAGGCTTGGCGCCCATAGCTCAGTGAGTAGGGCGCCAGCCACATACACTAAGGCTGGCAGGTTCGAGCCCAGCCTGGGCCTGCTAAAAACCACAATGACAATTCGAATGAAAATAAAGAAATATCTAGGCATTATGGCAGCCACCTGTAGTCTCAGCTGTTCAGGAGACTGAGGCAAGAGAATTGCTTAAGCCCAAGAGTTTGAGGTTGCTGTGAGCTGTGATGCCAAGGCACTCTACCAAGGGCAACATAGTGAGACTCTGTCTCAAAAACAAACAAACAAACAAACCCCCCCCCATATATATATATACACGAATTTTAGTCTCTCTGAATGAAATACTTTGCTGTACAAACTATTTTAATACAAAATGGAGATAAATGAAAATCTGTTTTCCACAATTATGAGTGCTATTTTGGTGTGAAGGGTACAAATTATATTCTTTTATCTTTTATTATATCTTTTATTCTTTTATCTTTGATCTTTTATTCTTATATCTTCATTCCTAGGTATGTTTCAGAGAAGCTATTTTTTCATTGCTCCCCCGCATGAGGTACGGGCTCTTCTATAACACTCCGCTGGTAAGCACATTGTCCCTGGGTAATGTTCATCCTTGCAGACTTTAGGTTTTAAGATAACCTTGATACGTAACTTGAAAGCACCTTAAATTGCAATACAGAAACATCAAATTGTAATATGAACTGGGGTTTTTATTTTAGATATCTGGCTGTCAGAAGACTGGATTATTCAGGGCATTTTCCCAGCATGTACTGCACAGACTGAACATCACACAGGAGGGACCCAAGGTAATGGCTACATTGTGGGTTTTGAGGTGGGCTTGAGTTTTCATCTTCAGTAAAAGTCAATACCGTCTTGGCAGAAGAAGAAGTAATTGGGAGACTGTGGTTAGGTTTTATTTATTTATTTATTTATTTAGCTTTTTCCCTTATTCAATAGATTTAGCAGGTGCAAGTAGTTTTCTATGATGTGGATGAATTGTACAGTGGTGAAGTCAGAGCTTTTTAGTGTACCTACCATGAGGAGTGCAATGATGGAGTTGTATGCGATGATAAAACTCAGTAAGAATGCAGCAGTACAGCTCTTATTTCTTATCCTGATTCCTTCAGGATATATAAAAATATACCCACTTTAGCCACAGAAGACAAACCAGTTCATGACACTGTTCTGTTTGGCTGGGTGAGTGGGTGGATTTTTTGGCAGGAGTTGTGTGGCTTAGATGGGGATTTCGGGGAGTGTGGAGAGATACGGCCAAAGAGGGAAAGGAAGAAGAGGAAAAAGCACATTCTTGCCATGTCCTGTAGTTTATTTTTCTTCTATTTATGAAAATCACATTTTAGGTTCAGATGCTCATTCACTTCTCCTGGCATATATGGAGTTATTTTGCCTTTTCATTTTGGTTATAGGATGGAAAAATTCGAGTCACCATTCTTGCACGGAGCACAGAATACCGGAAAATCCTAAACCAAAATGAGGTTTGTTTTGGGTATATGTTATTAACATAATCATACTGAATTTACCTTCCCATAAACTATTGTGCTTTATTTTTTTCATATTACCCTAAAAGCCTTGGTTTGAAACTTATTTTTTAGGAGAAGTTTGTTGGCCTATCCCAGTTCACTTATTGAATGATTTGAATTTCTAGTGACAGTCACCACACCAAAAAAGAAAAAAAAAGAAAGTCACCCAACTACCCATAGCCAACTTAGACTGGAAACAGAGACATGATTCCAGGCCTGCCTTTACTGCAATAGATTGCTATACATTTGCCCTCTAGACAAACTAGCAACAAAAGTGCAAGAATGTCTTCTGGGAGGTGGTTGATAGCATGAGGCAATCCTGGGACACCAGTAGCAGATTAAGCTGGAAGAGCCTCCCTCCTCTTTCATGACTGTGTGTCTTAGACATTGTTCACTGATTAGGCATCCTAACTCATTTCACTGGCACCAACTCATAAATTATGTTCAACCCCAATGAGCTCACCATGCAAGACCCTTCCTACAATGTTGTGGTATGAAGATAGTGTCACAGTAGTAACATTTATTGCACAAAGGTAAATTGAGCACCTGCTGTGTGCCAGGCTGTGTTGTAGGCCCTGGACATAATGAGAAGACAGGGAATGTCCCTGCCCTTGTGGAGCTTACATTCTAGAGGTGAGAGACAGACAAGAGATAAGGAAACAAGTCAGTAAGTATGGTAATCAAAGCAGCAGTGAGTGCTCTGAAGGAAACAAACCAGGGAGATGTGACACAGACTAGGGCCATGGATGGAAGAGGGAGGAGGCGAGGCATCCAGATAGGTGCTGCTAGGACTGAGACGTGATCAAAGAAGAATCTGGCTGGGAAAAACCTCTCAGGCAGAGGCAAACGTCCCCTGATGGATTAAGCTTTAAGTGTTCCAAGAACGGAGAGAGCACCAATATGGTTCTAGCATCATGGAAGAAGTGGCAATACCAGAAGTGTGCAGAGAAGTGGGGCGTGGTGCAGGTCTCCTATCAGCATCCTAGACCTGGATGAGGACACAGACTTTATTCCATTGAGGCAGAAAGCCACTGTGAGGTTGTAAGCAGCATGTGCTAGGAGAATAATGTTTTTTCTTCCTCTCAAAAAGATGTCCATGGCTCAGCACCTATGGCTCAAGCGGCTAAGGCGTCAGCCACATATAACCAAGGTGGCAGGTTCAAATCCAGCCTGGGCCCGCCAAACAACAATGACGGCTGCTACCAAAAAATAGCCGGGCGTTGTGGTGGGCGCCTGTGGTCCCAGCTACTTGGGAGGCTGAGGCAGGAGATTTGCTTGAGCCCAGGAGTTGAAGGTTGCTGTGAGCTGTGATGCCAGGGCACTCTACCCAGGGTGACAGCTTGAGGCTCTGTCTCAAAAAAAAAAAAAGATGTCCATGTCCGAATCCCTGGAACCCATGAAGAGGTTCCAGGCTGCATGGGAAAACAAACTCAAGGGTGCAGATGGAATTGAGGTTGCTAATCAGCTGCCTTAAAATAAGGAGATTATCCCAGATTATCCAGGTCAGCCCTGTGAAATCACAAAATGGGCCTTAAACTCTATCCATTGGAGACTTTTGCCTCTGTCCACAAATCTCTTTTCTTAGCTGGATTCTTCTCACTGCTCTGCTCTCAGTTTATCAGTTCCTTAAAAGTGGGAGAGGGAGGGTGGCGCCTGTGGCTCAAAGGAGTAGGGCACTGGCCCCATATGCTGGAGGTGGCAGGTTCAAACCTAGCCCCAGCCAAAAAAAAAAAATGGGAGAGGGAGGCAGGAAAGAGAGTAAGAAAAGGAGATAGGATGAGAGATTGGGGTCAGACAAAGGCTGGCTTTGAAGATAGAGGAAGGGGAACTGAAGGCAGGGAGCATGGATGGCTCCCAGGAGCTGGAACAGATAGAACAGGAGGAATGCAGCCCTGCTGGCACCTTGATGTTACCCGGGGAGACTCAGGTTGGACTTTGATGCTCAAGAACTATGAGAGAATACAGTGTGTTATTTTAAGATGCTACGTTGGTGATAATTTGCTGCAGCAGCAAATAGAGAATAAATACACAGAGGGAGATGTAAACTGACTTATTGTTTATTTTTAAATCATTCTGGCCGCAAGAGCCAGAGCAGGGAGGTTGATTAGGAGCTGCCCCTGTGCCCAGAGAAGACAGGCTGAAGGTGATGAAGGCAGAGATGACACTGTAGGTAGGTCTGAGACACGTTTTGGAGGTATGGATACTTACCTTTTGGAATGTAAAAGTACATTTGCATGAAGTAAGGCCAAGAAAGGAATCAAGGATCAAGTGTGTCTCCAGGCTTTTAGCTTGAGCAATTAAGTGGAATTGAAATGGAAAAAATTTAGTGAGAGGGAAGAGGGAGGCAGGTTTTGATGGGTAAATATTTTACACAGATTAATTTGAGCTTCTAACAGGCTGATCAAATTAAGTAATTAGCATCTCTTCCTGAGACCCACATGGATTACGGAGAACATGGACATATGGTGTAATGTGGCGTTGATTGTAACCTCTGCAATGGAAGAAATGAGCAGAGAGAGTGTGCGTTTAAAGACCCAGAAATAAAAATGTATCAAATAATGCAATGTTAGGCAGCTAGACAGGAAGCCTTATAGCTGACAGATCAATGGCAGATATTGGCGTAGGCCACACATACTGAGTGTTAACTGTGTGCCAAGCATATTACTATGTGGTACCAGACATTTTCTTCTCAACTCTTCCAGCAAACCCATGAGGTAAGTATCGTGTTATTATCTTCTGTTCTCTAGACAAGAACCTGAGCTCTGGGGCGGCGCCTTTGGCTCAAAGGAGTAGGGTGCCGGCCCCATATACTGGAGGTAGCGGGTTCAAACCTGGCCCCCGGCCAAAAACTGCAAAAAAAAAAAAAAAAAGAACCCTGAGCTCAGAGGTTAAAGGACATGCCAAATTTCACCCACCTAGTAAGTAGAGTAATGGGGGTGTGAGTCCAGGTGGTCTGGGTCTGGAGTGGTTTCTTTTTCTTCTCTTTTCTTATTCTTATTCTTTTTTCTGACAGAGTCTCACTCTGTCACCCTGGGGTTGAGTACCACATAGTCGTAGCTCACAACAACCTCAAACTCTTGGGCTTAACCAATCCTTTTGCCCCAGCCTCCCAAGTAGCTGGGACTGTAGGTGCCTGTCACAGCACCTGGCTAGTTTTCCTATTTTTAGTAGAGTTGGGATCTTGCTTTTTCTCAGGCTGATCTTGAACTCCTGAGCTCAAGCAATCTACCTGCTTCAGCTTCCCAAAATGTTAGGATTATAGGCATGAGCCATCATGCTGGCTTGCAGTGGCTTTCTTAACTGTGCAAACAGATCTCAGAGGAGGCGGACTCTACCTCTGATCCCAGCCCATTGGGAAGGGGCAGACTAAGGGCAGCATCAAGCCACTGGAGAGGAGTCCAGTAGAAAAAGGCACGTGCTGGTGTGGACGTAATGTTTTCAGTTCCAGTCCTACCAGCAGACCATAAGACGGTACCCAAAGGTGAGATTTGGTAATTCACCTCCCAACTCTAAGCCAAAGGGGACCCAGCTGGCTGTTTTTCTCCCATGGACTGGACATCAACTTCAGGGTAGGGAAGAAAGCACCTTGGACTATACTTTGCTTAGTGAATAAATAGTATGACCCAAATGTCCTCATTAAATGATGGTTTATGGAATCCCGCCCAATTTCAGGATTTGAACAATCATGTCAAAAGGGACAGGACCACAGGTGTAGTCAGATTACCAGAAAATGGGGTGTGCTTGCCTGGGATTCTCAGGAGCCTGTGATTCCTTTTATGTGGGTACATCTCATTAAAAGACCAAGGCTTATGCCATCTGATTAATTCTCTCGTGGAAAACAGAATTCTAGGCTCGGCACCTGTGGCTCAAGTGGCTGGGGCACCAGCCACATACACCTAAGGTGGAGGGTTCGAATCCAGCCTAGACCCGCCAAACAACAATGACGGCTGCAACCAAAAAATGGCTGGGCATTGTGGCGGGCGCCTGTGGTCCCAGCTACTTGGGAGGCTGAGGCAGGAGACTCGCTTGAGCCCAGGAGTTGGAGGTTGCTGTGAGCTGTGAAGCCACAGCACTCTACCCAGAGGGATAGCTTGAGGCTCTGTCTAAAAAAAAAAAAAAAGAAAAGAAAACAGAATTCTAATATTCTATTCTCATTCCTTTATCTCTTTGACATAGGCATATATTCATGTGTGTTCAAGGCGCTATCTAGAGAAAGAAATTTCTGTTTTGTGACTCTGTGTGTGTGTGTGTGTGACAGGTGGGGATTAGTCTTGGTCACTGCCTATTACTTTCTGTAACTTGACAGTGGAATACACTGATTAAAAACACAGGTTTGGGGGTAAGAAGACCTAAATTTAATTTTAACTCGCATTTGTGTGTGGTTATCTAACTTCTCTAAGCCTTTGTGATCTCATTTATAAAATGAGCATAATACTAATAATGCTAATACTTATTTGCTATGACTTTTATGAAGATGAAGTGAAGGAAACCTAAGCACATAGAAATGCCAGCACAATTTCGATGCCCAATGATACTTGTAATCGGTGATGTTGCTGGTAGGCTGTAGAACATGGCATAGGCAACATGATACCCGTGCAGAAATTTCTGGATGATGGTGATCCAGGGTGGCCCAGTTGTGAGGGACATACAGAACCATGACTATGTTTTTGATAATGGATTAATCATGCTTTGTTATTTCCTGTTTGTTGGAAGAATAAATTGGTTTTCTTTGTAGAAGTATTGAAAATGTTTTTCTGCCAAGACTGGTATTTTCAGAGTATGGGATGCAAAGTGCTGTTGGTTTTTCTGAAGTGAGATAATGGATGGAAAGAAAACTCTTAATATAATGTCTGGAGTGTGGTAGGTGCCTAAAACTGTGTGATAAAAGTTGAAGAAGCACCCAGCACGTAGTAAGAGTTAGCAGCGCTTTATGGTGCTGAGCCCTGTTCTCCTGTGAATTTCAGTCTCCTAGCAACCCAGTGCATTGGAATTTTAAGGAGGTAATGTGTCCAGGGGTGGAGCCTGGGCTGGAACTCAAGGCTCAAAACAACTCTAAGAATTGGATTCTAACCCATATTTAATGCCTAAAAAATATTATATACAAAAAAGGAAGAAATTGTAGGACTTATAAAGGAAAGTAAAACAGAAGAGGAGGAAGGAAAAGGAATCTAACTGTTTCTCTTTTTTCCCAGCTTGTAAATGCACTGAAAACAGTATCTATGTTTGAAGTCCGGATTGTTGATTACAAGTATAAGTAAGTAATAACTCTCGCGCAGACACTGTCGACTTTTGTTTGGATGAGTTCAGAGGGGACAGAATGCATTTTTCCAGTGGGAGCTGGTGGCACCTGTAGACCCAGAAGGGACAAGCAGACATCATCAGTGAATCAAATGGACAGGAGTGGGCCCTGGGCATGCGGAAGTTGCTGTTCAACTATCTGAGACCTGATACTGTGACATTATCTTATTTTTCATAAGAAGTGATGAATCCAGATTTTCATTTAAAATTTCTGATGTCTGGCTCGGTGCCTGTAGCTCAGTGGCTAGGGCACCAGTAGAATACACTGGAGCTGGCAGGTTTGAATCCAGCCTGTCAAACAATAATGACAATTACAACCAAAAATAAAATAGCCAGATATTGTGGAGGGCACCTGTAGTCTGAGATACTTGGGAGGCTGAGGCAAGAGAATCGCATAGGCCCAAGAATTTGAGGTTCTGTGAGCTGTGATGCTGCGGCACTCTGCCCAAGGTGACATGGTGAGACTCTGTCTCAAAAAAAAAAAAGAAACGAAAAAAGAAAAAAAAATTTTGATGTTTTTAAATTGGCAACTAGTTTTAAATTTTACAAAATGTTACAGGCCCTAGTGCTCTGCTACTGACAGGTTTCAAATTCTAACCTAAAATTATTTCCTTGGAATAATTTAAGGGTCATAGAATAACATGAGATTTTAGAAAACCTTATCAAATATTTATATTTCTTTTAAAATTCTGATATAACTAAAAGGCTAAGAAAAACAGAATATATCTATCTACTACATAGGTAACTCCTATTCCTGGAATTACATATTCCTGGTAAAAATAGTACATGTTCTTTATTTAAAAAGTCAAACAGTGTAGAAAAGATCAAAGGAAAAGTGAAAACATTTATCCACACTCTCACTCACCAATGATCACAATTGTGTTTTCTAAATTTAACACTATTGGCTGGGAAAGGTGGCTTTCAAGTAACCCTTGTACCCTGGGAGGCCAAGGCAGGTGGATTGTCTGAGCTCGAGAGTTCAAGATGAGCCTAAGCCAGAGTGAGACCCCCCATCTCTAAAAATAGCTGGGCCTTCTGGCAGCCACCTGTAGTCCTAGCTACTTGGGAGGCTGAGGCAAGAGGATTGCTTAAGTCCGAGAGTTTGAGGTTGCTGTGACGTCATGGCATTCTACTGAGAGCAACAAAGTAAGACTCTGTCTCAAAAAAATGAAAATGAAAATAAATTTAACACTATCCCTAGTTTCTATTTTTTGTAAAAAGATATTTATATGCTAGCACATGCGTTTCAAATATAGATACATTTATTGCAGAGAATGTAAACTTAGGAGCTTTGCACCTCATTCATCAGACATCAGTTCACTTATATGAGGAATCTACCTCGGACTTAAAATGAGCTGGTCACCAGGTTTGGCAGTAGAGTCCAGTTGTGGAGAATGGTGAGGCTCTTGTCTCGAGGCCCTCCACACTACATGCAGACTGCAGATGAACGGCAGTCGTGAGAACAGCTACCATTTATTGAGACCTGCTATTAGTGTTTTACTTGCTTTAGCTCATCTCACACTTTTAACAGCCCTCTGAGATTGGCAAAGCTATTCCCGTTATACAAATCATACTCAGCTGCCACCTGAAGAGTGTGAGCCAAAGTTGGGCCTGGCGTCAGCCTGAAGGAAATAGGAAAGGCACCCCTGAGGCCATATCACTGACTGGCTTTTACGGATATGCGGCCTAAGCAAGACTTTCAGACTAAGCAAGAATGACGTAAATTTGTGCCTGGCCAATCTGAGGGTAACATTAGTACCACATTAGTGTGGGGACTTGTGAGAATAACACACAGGTAGTTCAACAAATGGCAACTCCAGGGGCATGTTCCCCGGGGACAATGGCCATCTTTCTCTCCGCATAAGTTTACATTCCTGGAGAAACTAAGGCACAGTTCCTGGTGACACACACATACTCAGCCATTATCTTCCTTTTCCTATGAGGAGCTTTTTGTTGTTCGCTGATAGAAGAAAAGATTCACAGTCTCTGCTTAGATCCAAAATAATCTTGATCACTTTCTTTTTTTTACTTTGAGTAAAGTAGGACTGGGAGATCTCATTCCATTTTGTTTACTTATTTACTTATTTTTGAGACAGAGTCTCCTTTTGTCGCCCTGGGTAGAGGGCTGTGGCGTCATAGCTCACAGCAGCCTCATACTCTTGGGCTCACGCAGCCCTCTTGCCTAAGCCTCCAAAGTAGCTGGGACTACAGGCACCTGCCACAATGCCCCACTATTTTTAGGTCTCATTCTAGCTCAGGTTGATCTCGCACTCCTGAGTTCAAGCAATCTACCCACCTTGGCCCCCAGAGTGCTGGGATTACAGATGTGAGCTGCTGCCCCTGGCCTCCCATTCTGTTTATTCAGAGTGTCAAGATTATGCCAGCATTTCCGCCTAGCCTCACTTCAGTTAACTGTTGGGGACTGATTTTCAGTTAGAACTTACACATCTGTCAGTGTCTCAGATTTAAAGAACTCTTGTGTAGTCCTAACTCTCATACAAACAATTGTGTATTATTCTATTGCAAAGGTGGAATAATGTCCTGATGGTATCTGGGATCATTTTAGTACCCAGAGGCCTTAAATAACTGAAATCACACAGGGGAAATTTATTTCCTTTTTTAAAAAAATTCTTTCATTATGTTAAGGAAGCAGTTTTTAGTTAGCTAGTGTGTCAGAACATCTCTGTGACACTTTTTCATGAAGAGAGAGCAGGACTCAGGCTCAGAGTTTTGTCTTGCAGTATCTATCTAGATTGGAATACTTTTTAGTTTGATTATATCTATTTTTACAGTTTTGTTAATATTGTGTATTACTGGTTTTCCATTTAACACAACTATTTATGTTTCCTTTAAAAAAAGTACTTAAGCTTAAAGTGATAGGTGAGCTTACTTAGAAAAACATGTTACATTATTAAGAAAATAAATTATTAATTACAATTACTAGAATGTGCTCAAAATTAACAACAAAGCATAAAGTGGGATTGTGATTTAAAAGAGGAAATATGCATATATAATATTGGTACCTTGAAGCACGAGCTAAATCAACCTAATACTTATCTCCTGTCTCTCCTGTGTTCACAGAGAACTTGGCTTTTTAGATCAACTGAGGATCACACACAACACAGACATATTTATTGGAATGCATGGAGCTGGTCTTACCCACTTACTTTTCCTTCCAGACTGGGCTGCTGTATTTGAACTGTAAGTGTTTGGGGGCAGTTTTACCCTAAGGAAGCTAATTGTGCTTTTTATACATGCTAAGACTTTTTCTGGGCATCAAAAAAAGGGCTTAATATAGAAAATCATTAGAGAGAAGTCATATCACATAGGCATTTGGTAAAAAGAAAAACCTAAAGCTAAAAATGTGAAGTCTGCAGCTGCCTCTGCAGTTAGTAAGCAAACCACCTCTTCCTCTTAGCATCCCTGGTGTGATAAGGGATGTAAATCTTTGGTTTCCCTAGTCTGAGTTCATTCTCAGGTGCCTCTCAAACTGGGAGCATCTCCCTGCAGTTCCTATAACTACTGTGTTAAAAGAGACCCTGTTTGTCCTGCGAGGTTGCAGACTACAAGCCACCCACTTCACCTCACGTGCACTGTGATCTGCCCAGCGCACCTCTAACTTGGTGGTTGGTTATGGAGATGTGGCCTTCCCTCCCTTAATAATTTTACTCTTTTTTTTTTTTTTTTTTTTATGAGACAGAGTCTCAAGTTGTGGCCCTCGGTGGAGTGCATGGTGTCACAGCTCACAGCAACCTCCAACTCCTGGGCTTAAGCGATTTCCTTGCCTCGGCCTTTCAAGTAGCTGGACTATAGGCACCCACCACAACGCCCAGCTATTTTGGGGTTGTAGTTGTCATTGTTGTCAGCAGCCTGGGCTGGGTTTGAACCCACCAGCCTCAGTGTGTGTGGCCAGTGCCCTAACCACTGAGCACAGGCACCGAGCCAGGAATTTCACTCTTGACGACATACCCCATTTTAGTGGGGTTTTTTGTTTGTTTTTTGAGACAGGGTCATGTTCTGTCACTCCAGCTAGACTATAGCAGCATCAGCCTAGGTCACAGCAACCTTAAATTTATGGGCTCAAGTGATCCTCCTGCCTCAGCCTCCCAAGTAGCTGGGACTATGGGAATGCACCACCATGTCCAGCTAATTTTTCTACTTATGGTAGAGATGAGAGGTCTTGCAAGTTCCTAGGCTCAAGTGATCCTCTTGCCTCAGCCTCCCAAAGTGCTGGGACTACTATGAGCTATCACATCCAACCTCCCATTTTAGTCCTTGACCCACTAATAACAATTCCTATTACCTGATTTTTCTTCTTTGAGTCTAAATATCTGGATTCTATGGTTTCATTTTAACAATGACTCAGTATTTAAATAGGAGGCTATTTAGGAAAAAAGTTGTCATGACCTGGAAATACATTTCAAAATTATATACAGTATATGTTAGAGAAATAGCCAGATAAGTGTGGATACTGTCTCCATTCATTTCCCTTGGAGTGGGAGAAAAGAGGAGAGGAGGGAGGGAGGAAGGGAGAGTCATGAAACTAAGAAACCTCAGCCCAATAGACCTGGGTTCAGTTTTGCTTCCTTCACTAACTAGGCATATGGCCTTGGAAGTATCCTAATCCCTACCCCCAGTCCTCTTCCATATGTGTAAAGACAAGGTATTATGAGGTAATAGCAAGTTCATAGCCAGTAGACCCTGTTGAATAAAGTTAATCCCCTTCATTCCTTGATCCTATTCTGTTTTTAAAAAGTCATGATAATTTAGTTCAGAGAATATTTTTGAATTCTCTTTCTCAGTATTGTTTACTGTGTATACAACCTTTTGTAAGCATACATTTGGGAGGTGCCTTTTTTCCCCAGAGAATTGTTGATTGGGCAAAAACCCTGGACAAAGCCTCATGTCGTGACACCCTTGTGTCCTTAGGTACAACTGTGAAGATGAACGCTGTTACCTGGACTTGGCCAGGCTGCGAGGCATCCACTACACCACTTGGCGAAGGAAGAACAAAGTCTTCCCTCAGGATAAGGTACATTTCAACCACAAAACTCACCTTGCTCCATTTTTAATTGGTTTGAAGTGTCTAATTATTAATATGAAAAGCAAGCATTGAATTTCAAAGATAAACTGGTCTTTGGAATAGTGAGTTGTATTTTATATTTGCAAATCGGAGAAAAAGGGAAATTAAACACTCCCTATCTTTAATGTTGTTTTGTGAAATTTGGGCCTAGAAAGGTCTATGGGATTATATATAGCAGGAATCCACAAACTATAGCCTGGTGGGGCAAGTCCCACCCACCACCTGCTCTTATAAACAAATACCAGCCATGGTGATCTGTGAATGTGTTGTCTAAAGCTGCTCATGCACTTCAGTGACAGCTGAGTAACTGTGATCAAGACTTAAGAGTCAGCAGAGCTGAAAATATTTATTACCTGGCCCTTAACAGAAAAAGTTTGCTGACCTCTGATGTAGAGCATAAATTAGTTGCCTTAGTCAAAGTAAAATCACTTTCCTCCTGTACAGCAGACCTGTCCTCGGTGAGTTATGATTTGTGTGTTGGTTTGTTTGTGCAGGGTCACCATCCAACTCTGGGGGAGCACCCGAAGTTTACCAACTACTCTTTCGATGTAGAGGAATTTATGTACCTTGTCCTTCAGGCTGCAGACCACGTATTGCAGCACCCAAAGTGGCCATTAAAAAAGGAACATGATGAGCTGTAAATGTGTTGAGTCTGTTCGCAAAAAGAGTGTTTAAACATGATTAAAATCAGTAAAACAACCCGTTATTTCCTAGCCCCAAATGACCTTTTCTATGCCAAAACATACCTTCAATATACTGTTCTTGTTTTATAGTGTTTAAATATTTTATGTGATTTTTGCATTATTGCTATTGACAAATAGCAATAAGAAGTTTGCACTGAAAGCTTTACTTTTTATAGTTCAAAAATTTGGCATAGGCTCACTGGTGTAAGTAAGTTTTCTTTTTAGACCTGCCGAAGTTTTCAACTTTCTCAACTTTCAAATGTATAGATGTTTCTGCAGCATATTATGTGATCGTAATTCCAGAATATTCCAACTTGTTTATGATATACTTGGGTAAACTTACAACTGTTTTTTATTTGCCGTATGTGTTATAACACTTCTTAACAGTAGGAAAGGAAAACGCGCACGACATACGTACGGTTGTGATGCTCAGGACCACGCACAGGACCGTGTTATGTCAGAGTTTAGGCAGTTCCAGGTTATATGCTTCGAGGACTGGAAGAACTCATTCTACTGTATTCATTTATATTCATATATTTCATATTCAAATCATGTTTTCCCAAAATGTAACAACTACATATGATAAAAGCAGATCGGAACATGCTGTAGAACTGCTTTGCATATTCCAGCTGGTCCCCTGATCTCCCCCTCGTCATGGAGCACGTGTTGAATTTCTGTATGAAACAGTGGTTTCCACCATGTGACTGCATTTACCTATGTGTGTGCCTCTACCTCTTTCAGCATTAAAGTATTCTAGTTTTTGATTTCACAGTCTTCAAATTAGCCTCATGAAGAGAATTTTTCCCCCTAAAACAGTAAGATAAAAAAATTCTAAAAAGACATGAATTATTCAACCAAAAATTTAAAAAGCTGTATATGAAAACACCATTGATTAAAAACAGTATCTGGCATATAGTCCCGCTCTTTGAACGGGATCCTTTCCTTCCTGTTCACCAACTTTCAATTTAAGCAGTCAGAAACCCAGGATTTGTTTCACTGCAGAATGTGAGGTTTACATTTTATTAACACTTGACTAGTCTAATTTAGAGACTAGTTCTATTTTTTTTTTAAAGGAAGAAGGTTATCAAATTACAGCAGAACTAAAGAATTTTTTGTTTCTTTTCTTGACATGTTTAATGTTTTTAAAAATGGAGACGTGACCAGCAAAACAACATGTTTACATCTGGACTCTTACAGGGAAAGTTTTTTGACCTCTGCTTTAAAGGATTATGAACAGTATGCTAGAATTTAGGAATATTTATTAAAATAGCTATAAAGCAAAAAGTGAATCACTGTGGCAATAGCTTTGATTTGGCTCTTAAAATTATATAAAAAGATTTACAACATACTTTGAATTTTTAAATGACAGGTATTGTTACTATTCTTTGCGCAAAATGCTAAGTAAACACTGGGAAAATATTTTGCATGAAAGGAATTATAAAGGCTGTGTTGCACTTTGAGTCAGCAAAATATAAACATCTGAAAAAAATTGTCTGCAAAAAAGTTTCAACATGTATCTTCTTACCTCATTTTAAGGAGTATGTGGAAATGTGATTGTGTAGATTAGGGAGGCTTTCAGAAATTGAGAACAATTCATAATAAAATGGTTATATTTGAATATTTTGCATTTAAAAAGAGAATATATTTTATATAAACAAAAAAATACATTTGACATTATGGAATTCACTTCTATCATTTTTTTTTTTGTCAGAGTAAAAGAATGTTTCAAATTATAAAGTTTAAAATATAAGACTGCTCTTTTTATTAAGTCTTTAAAAGGGATGCATTTCATTGTACATTTTGGGTATGCTTTGGAATAAATCTTTTTTATTTCATTTGTGTATCAGAATCATCTGTAAAGTTTTCTGTGTCTGAATATTATATGCTTGATTTTTGTGACAATCTGGTAGGTCTTAGATTATAAAAACTAAGTAGCTTGCTGATGAAGAATTTGGTTTAAGCAAAAACTGTAACTTAACGTTTATTTAGCAGTTATTCTATGATACTTTCACAAATATTACATTGTATAATCCTTACCACAATGACAGAAGAATTACGTTTCTTGCTTTTCATCTGACTCAGATGCTGTTTAAAGGACTTCCCTAAAAATGACAAGCCTCTGATTCCACATTTAGTTTCCCATTCATTCATTCACTTACTCATTCAATAATTATTGAGTAACAACTATGTACCAGTTACTATTATGAGTTCTGGGAATACAGCAACAGAAAGAACAGACAAAAGGCCACGCCCTGACCGAGCGGCTGTGGGGGAGGAGGCGGACAGTGAACAGCGTAAGTCAAATGTACAGTGTGCCAGACGCATACATGCCATGGAAAAAACTGAAGCAGTGAAGAGGGATGGAGAGTCTGGGATGAGGTGGAGTGCGGCACACTCAAGTAGCAGGTCAGGGAAGTCCTCACTGAATTAAACCTGCAAGGAAATGAGGGAGGAAGCCACCCGGATAGCCGGGCAGAGAGCATTCCTGGAAGACAGAATAGCAGCTCCTGCAAAGGCCTTGAGGCAGGAGCATGCCTGGGGTGTTTTGAGAAACAGCAAAGAAACCAGTGCAGCAGGTGTGATCAAGGATCAGAGGAGGAGGTGAAATCAGAGGGATAAGAGGATGCGGTGCAGGTGGCAAGGCTCTTGATCTTTCATTTTGATGAGATAGGAGCCCTCAAAGGGAACAAACGAATAGGGTCCTTACTTTTAAACAGGGCAGCTCTAGCTATCATTCTGGGAATAGATTGTAGAGCATATCTTAGGTCAAGCTCACTGGAACACAGACTCTAGGATGGAGATTTGTATGGAGGTGGTTTTGGAAGGGAAGTTCTCATGATCAACACCTGTAAGGAAATAAGGGGCCAGGCTTAGGCAGAGGGAGACACTGAGGGGAAGAGAGTGAGGCCTCAGCCGGGGCGTGGTGCTGGAGAAGTCCTTCAGTGAGGTCCCAAAATAAGGCAAGAGATGCTTTTATCAAGTCATTAAATAAGGGCCCTCCCATAGAGGGGTGTAACCTTGAACAAGGCAATACCTTCAGCTGAGGACAATTCCTGGAGAGAAGTTCAGCTGTGACCCACCAGCAGCCATTTGCAGCAATTTGGGGACTATGTGCCTCAGTCTCAGGGGAGAGCTGGGTGGCACATTGCTGTATCCACTGTGGGGCGTGGGTGGTACCATTTCACTTGTTCCCCTCTCCCTGCTGCTTCCTGTCTACTAGAAGTTGTAGTCAAAGTCTCTTTTAGAGTCAGGCTTGATTTTTTTTTTAAGAATACTTACAGATGACACTGTGAGCTTTAGATCGCATCAGGGAAGGGGAAGGGCTGGCATACTTTCTCTGTAAAGGGCCGGGTATTTCAGGCCCTGTAGGCCGTATGTGGTCTCTGTTGTATATTAAATGTGTGTGTGTGTGTGTGTGTGTGTAATTTTTGTTCCTCAATATTTTAAAAATGTAAAAACTGTTATTCTAGATATTTTAAACAAAACAGACATGGAGTTAGGCTGTGCAGTTACAAGTTTTCTTTGAGATCTAGTCAATAGAAAAATTGGAAAACAATTGCTTTTTCTTACCTAAGAATACAAGCAAAGCAGGTATGACTATCCTAGAGAAACCAATTGTTTAAAATAAGCTATACCCAACTAAGAGCTATTGTCAGAACACTTGAATACCTTTCTTTTCTTTGAGAGCTTATTGGAGCATGTCAAAAGATGTTGTAACTATTCTGATTGGAAGGGGAAAGGGAGAGGAAGGAAGGGGGAGGATGGGTGGAGTGGGGGTAATTGGTAGGACCACACCTAAGGTGCATCTTACAAGGGTACATGTGAAACTTACTAAATGTAGAATATAAATGTCTTAATACAATAAGTAAGAAAATGCCATGAAGGCATTTCATCATCAAACTGAAGATATTTCAAGTTGTATATAAAACCAGCACATTGTACAACATGACTGCATTAATGTACACAGCTATGATTTAATTAAAAAAAAAAAAAGAAAGTGGGCTAGAGCAGTTCCTGCAGTTTGCTTCTTACAGGCCGTTAGTTTCGCCAGTGGTGCGCATGTGGCCACCAGGTGGCAGTCAAGCCCTTCCAAATGGCCTTTGGTGGGGTCTGAAGCCCGGTGGAAGAATCTCATTGTAGATTCCAGGCACCTCGGCTCCAGGAGTAAGGTGTTTGATGGATTTTTTTTTTTTCCATTCCTTATTTGAGGGACTGTAGAAAAATTATCACAGAGCGTTTTCAGCTTTCAATGTGGAATTTCTTAGCTGCATCCAGTAGCTGAATCCTGTTTAATATCTCCTGGTCATCTCATAGGGAGAGCACGTGGCCCGGGAAGACGATTTCTAGCACAGAGCTGCTTAGGGGACTGCATTCTCATTAACTTGCTGGCCTTTGGCTGGGACTAGAGCTCTATGCAGTATACGTAGCTGGCATTTTAACTCTTTCATTCCTCTTAGGAGCTAATTTCTCGGGCCTATATGTTATCACGGACCTAATTGCTGTTATCATTTGGTTTGAATAGAAGCAAATTGTAAGCAGAGGAGTTTATTGAAGGCCAGAGCCCAAGAATTCACGTTAGGAAGTGCTGTTTAGCATGAGTGAGGAGCGTTAGTATTGCGTCTTTACACATAAGGTGACCTACCAGACGTCCTGCCTTTGGACGGACAGTTCCGATTTTTAACAATTTGTCCTGCGTCCAGCGGCGTTTTTAAAAAGTCCCGATTTTTGGAAAGAATGCGCGACATGTTAGATAATTGACTCAGTAAGCCCCTCCCCGAAAAGCCCCTTCCTGCCCTTAAAGTTACAACTCCTCCCTAGCACAGGGAGTGGCCTGCTTACCACTCGTGCTAGTGCTAAACAAGTGATGTCAACAAATCAGCTATTCAGATAATTTAGGTGAGTAATTTATTTATTTCATGAATTTAGCAGACAGTACTCTTATTATTTATATTTTATAGAGGCAGCAAAAAGTATAGCGCTGGCCTTGAAAATGACACGACTTTGGAGGTATCATTATTAAAAAAATATATTGATAAGGAAAAGATTAAATCTTGGGCATTAGCAAAAATCACAATAGAGACCAAATGGTTAGAAATAGTTCATCATTTTGAAACAAACCATGTTCCATACAATAATGCACTAAAAATTGTGGAACTAATGCTGCGACTGAACGCATTTTTTTCTATGGTAAATAAAGTGTGGACATCTGAAAAATCACAATTAAGTGTTGAGACTCTGAAAGCCATTTTATGCGTGAAATATAATTTAACAAATTCTTGTGAAAAATTTCATGACCTTTTAAACAACAACAGCAATCTACTAAAAAAAATTCACTCAAATGAGAAATAGGCCAAAGAATAAAATAATACTATACATAATTTTTTAATGTATTATATTTGTAAATTGTACTTATGTTGAAATTTTAAAAAATTACAATACTATTTTTGCATTCTATGAAAATTTTTGTTGCTCCATATAGACCATTGATGGAGTCCCCCTTTACCAATGTTAAAATCTGGTCACCTTACTTTACACAGGGGTGACCTGGTGCAGTTCTTAAAGTAGTATTTTGTGTTACTTTTTCTTCATAACCTCAAGTTTGAGAATTTGGGGATTTTTTTTTCTGCTAAAAGGCACTGTGGAGGTCCTTTGTGCATTTGTTGATGACCTACCAGTAGTCATCCCTTTCCAACCGAGGGAGGAGGGTTCCTGGGAAAACCAGTGTTGTGTAGACCAAAGAACATGCGTGTAGAAGCCAGAGGGCCCTAAATTCTCTCACAAGAGCTGTGTGGCTGTGGGTTCACTGCCGAGCCTCATGGAGTTTCATGGTTTTTACTTGTAAATTAGTGGTAATATATATTAGGAAAGGTTGATTTAAGGATAAAAATTAGAAAATAAAATCACACTTGCTTCATGCCTGGCACATGGCATATGTGCAGTAGATAGTATTATTATACTGTGACATATAGAATTATTCAAAGGTCTGGGTCAGGACCTAGGGAGCATTTATGTTCTGATCTCCAAATCTCTCCTTAGACCAAGTAAATTGAATCTCTAAGGGGGAAAGTCTGGCTGATATATTTTTTATTAAATGTCCCCAGATGGTTCTGATGTTCAGGGCTTGGGAACTGCTGGTCTAGGAGACACTGATGAAGCTGGTGGCAGTAAATAGTTCATGAAGTCTAAGCCAGCATTTACTGAAGTATTTTTGATAAAATAAGATGTTCCATAAGAAGTAGGTTGCTTGAGAAATGCTGCCTCCAGACAAGTTTAAAGAGAATTGTTTATTGCAGGACATCTCATCACCTTTGATACAGTAGTGTGAATTTCTTTCTTTTCTCGCTCTCTTTTTTTTTTTTAAAGACAGGCTCACTCTGTCACCCTGGGTCTAGTGCTGTGGTGTCACAGCTCACAGCAACCCAAAACCCTCAGGCTCAAATGATCCTCTTGCCCCCCACATAGCTGGGAGTATAGTGCCCACCACAATGTCTGGCTCATTTTTCTATTTTTATTAGAGACAGGTTCTTGCTCTTGCTCAGACTCTCAAACTCTTGAGTAGTGTGAATTTATTTTTCTTTTCTTTT